TAAAACAGCTCTGCCTCGGTAAATGGATGGATCTAGAAACTGTTATGCTAAGTGAAGTAACACAGACTCAGAAAAACGAACGACATATGTTCTACCTCATATATGGCTCCTAGCACCAAATCCTTTTGAATTCCAGGTCCTTTTAATAAGATGATTATATACAACAGTCCCTTCTGCGTGAAATAACTACCATCATCAAGACTTCGGCTGAGCCTGATCGCTAAACATAGTCACAACTGGGCTTGTTGATGGTTGTGCTCATTCATTAAAGGAGTGCCAAGCAGGGTCACTGGACCCTCGTATGAATATCCAGCCACTCTTCCCAGCCAACTAGTCCAGCCTTGGAAGAGAAAAGAAAAATGAGGAAGAACCCAATAGAGGGATGCTTTTGGAAGCCCTTGTCAAGAAACTCCAATGGACTCTCATATGAACATTTGAAAATTGCCCTGTTCTGACTTTTTTCTAGTTCACTGTCTAGAACTTGTAATGCTAATTACTCTTGCCTTTACTTCTCCTTCACATCTCCTATTCACAATTGTTATGCAATTTGGGAGTCTTTTAGACAGACCCACTGAAGGGGTACTCCAATTGCCTCACCCTGCATCCCTGTTCATCATGGAAGAAGCCAGAGCAGTCAGATCCCTATTTCCTATTGGCAATTTGGAGCCCCTTCAGAGGATGGCATGATAAGAATAGGAGGTAGGAATTGACTAAGCAGTTAGGGTAAAGAGACCCCCCAAAAATGTAGCCAGTTTCTTGGCTAAACATCAAAATGTCCTTGGGCCTGTTAGCAACATAGTCTGTTCCAAGGCCAAAAAATGTCAAAAATATTTGAGAGCTTGTATACAATCCTTAAAAGATTTTAGGGTTACCTCTTCAGAGGGGGGAATGTTGGAGGTGAGGGAGTGGGCACGGATTTGATCAAAATACCTTATATGCATGTATGAAATTCTCAATAAAGTTTTTGTAAAAAAATTTTTTTAAAGTGTAGCATGCAGGAATTATGACCCCAATATAATAAAAAGAAGTCTGTATATCTACACAGATATTTTATTGTCTGGAAAAATATATTATGGTTTGTGCTTACGACCTTAATTTAGAACTTGAATTAAAAATTGCATTTTTAAACACTGGGGAAAAAAAAAAGAGCTTGTCTCAGAAAATCAGATGGAAAGCAACAGAGGAAGACACTCAACATTGACCTGCAGCCACATGCACTTGTACATATGTGTGAGCACCTTCATATAGCACAGATACACAGAAAATATGAGATTAAGGCTACATTTCATTCCTAATCCCTAAGTCAGGTCTTCAGGTAAGTTCCTCTTGTCCTGTTCCTTCTTTCTTTTGTTCCTTCTTTCTTTCCTTCTCTCTCCTTTTCCCTTCCTTTCATCCTTTCTTCCTTCCTTCTTTCCTTTTTTCTACAAACACACATGATCCTAAGTACTGAGGACACAAAAATGGTCTCCTCCCTAAAGGATTTCCAACCTCTTGTTGGAATTCAAGAAGATGGGAAGCTAGGTCTGTGGCCAGGCTTGATAACCCAGGAATGTCCTAGTTTGCATTTCTGTGGCTGTGATAAACACCATGACCAAAAGCAACTTGGGGAGGAAAGAGTTTTGATAACACTTGTCACAAATAAGCTGGCACTTCAAAGTTGGTTTGGATAGCTGGATGGGAGAAACAGCCGAACATTCCACAAAAGAAAGCATTCAGTAAGGTGAGTCTTGAGGCAACATGTTTTTGGGAACAAAAAGTGATTTAGTAATAATGGAAGCATAGATATAAATACTTAAAGATCATGACTCCCCTAAGCATGAAAAATCTTGACATTCAGAAAGAAAAATTAGGTCTATTACTTCTTTAAAGCAGGAGTAACTGGAATTTGCTAAACCAAGTCCCTAAGTAACTAAGTTTTGGGGAACATATCTGTCTTGCCCATGTTCAAAAAGGGCAAAGTCATGACTAAGTGTCTAGTTTTTCATCTAGTTTAACCTTGGCCTGATGCTGTGTCTGTGCCATACATCCCCCTCTGACTGAGACGATTTGGCCTCACATGGGAATTGTGTTTCCAGGAAAAAAAAGTCCATAGACTATAAAGTCAGGAGGCAGGTAAGAAAATGGCAATTCTTCACTTTTAGCAGTTATAATTCTTAACAATTTGGGATGTTGTAATAAGGAAAACAATAAGAAAAGACATGAAAATGATGAAGTAATCCTATTATCCCCACTCATAGCAGAATAAGAACTTGGTGCATATCACTGGTGTGTTGGCAGATGTTTAACAGCCATCACTCAAAGAGAAAAAGGACAGTGAGCTCATTTTTAAGATATTTCTGTGACAGAAATAGTGCCTTCATGGTCTGTTTGAAGCTAGCAATGTGACATAATTTGAGAGGTCCACAATCAACTCTGGAGTCACTGCAAACTAATCCAAGGGCACCACTGTTAGGGGATTTCAATAAGCATCCAAATCATCCTTCAACAGTAGCAGCCAACCAATCACTAATTTTCACTGGTTTAACCTTGACCTGATGGCCAAAAGTTTCACCATATTCAGTCAGTATAGACCCAGGCATATTCTTGGTTGACAAAGTAAAATCATTGATCTGCGTAGCTAATACGCACTAAATTTTACAGAAAGTTAAAGAGGCTAAACCCTCCCTTCCTATTACTATAGCACTAATTTATATCTTATCCACCCCTACCTCAGCTCATTATCTTGGGCCTGACCTTGCTGTAGATGGTGCTATTACCCATCATACTTCAGAACATGTATGACAAAAGCAGTGATTAGAAACAAAGGGAAAGTTTCTTTTGGAGTACTTAAGTCATCTGGCTTTCTTCTGAAACTGTATCAAAATCAGATGGAAGTCTACAAACAGTCATACAGTTATCAGTGCCAAGTGTGACACCTACAGATGGTACTGAAAGATCAGCAGCCACTATTTGGAAGCCTAGTTACAGTCACAGGGCACCAGCAGAAAGGCAGAGGAGGCTTGCTCACCGCTATGAACATCGCTAACGGTATTGTGCCCTTGATGTAGCGGAATATGGATAAAAGTTGTAGGAAAAGGGCGCTGGAGAGATGGCTCAGTGGTTAAGAACACTGACTGTTCTTGCAGAAGACTCAGGTTCAAAACCCAGGACCCACATGGCAGGTAACAACTGTTCATAACTCCAGTTCCAGGGGATCAGCCTCTTCTGTCCTCCGCGGGCATTGCACAACATGGGTGCACTTACCAACATGCAGGCAGTATACGCATACACACAACATAAAAAATAATAAAATTTTTAAAAAAAGTTCTGGGGCAAAAAAGATATTATAGTCTGAAGTCTTTCAGGACCTGAGCCATTTCATTGTCCAGTCACACTAACAGCTTTGTTTGAATGGTCATTTTAGAACAAGCATCCTAGGGCTAGAGACTCTGATCATTTCCTTTGAAGGTTATAACCACTTAAGTAGCCTCTCAGCACTTCTAGAACCTTCACTGGAGGGTTTTCTGGATCTCCTGCCAGCATCTCTCCTGTATTCTCATTTTCTAAATTGACTTTGATCAACCAGTCCACACTGGCAGCTCTCTGCTGCCCCCTTCTGTTACTAAGCTATAACTACCATAGCATTCCCATCCTTTGGGTAGGAATCCAAGGGTACCATGAACCTCTTGCTGAAAATCATTGACTTGGTTCTTTCTTTCCAGCCTGTGCTCAGTACTCTGGTTTGTTTTCAGAAAAAAAAAAAAAACTGGTTCTCCTGGATTTTTTTTTCAGAAGTTATAAGTTAACACTTGGGAGTTCTTCCTGAATTTCTTATTTGTTATCTCATGAATGACATCTTCAAAGACAATTCAAGAGTGCTAGCCTCAGCAGCACACACTAAAATTGGAGTAAGAATACAGAGAAGATTAACATGGCCCCTGCACAAGGATGACACAAATTCCTAAAATGTTCTATATTTTTATTAGACTCGGTAAGTCTTAAAAAAAAATAATAGAGAGCCACGAGTGGTGGCGAACGCCTTTAATCCCAGCACTCGGGAGGCACAGGCCAGCCTGGTCTACATAGTGAGTTCCAGGACAGGTGGGACTACAGGGAGACCCTGTCTCAAAAAGATCGAACACAAATAAATGACTTAACACTCCAACTCAACACACTTGAAAAGCAACAGCAAACAAAACCCAAACCCTGCAGACAAGAAGAAATAACAAAAATCAGGGCAGAAATCAATGAAATTGAATCAAAGAAAACAATACAAAGAATCAACAATACCAAGAG